AGAAAATATTTTGAATGTGATTCTAATACATCAACTGATTGTTGCATATGGTTTGTCATTTTTCTCATTTTATTTTACTCTTCTTCGGATAATATCTTTATAAAGGCGTGCTTAAAGTTTTCTTTCCTTGTGCACCTGCGGATGTGGCCTCATTGTTAGTTGCAAAATGGTCCTTCGAGCCATTTTTAAATTTTAGTTGTCATGACTCAGGACTAAATCTGACCAATACGGTGGATAGGAGATAAATTCTTATCCCAGTTGGTTTGATTTTGTTAGTCTTATTAGAACGTGCGCTATCCTGATGGTAGGAAATTTTTACGAGATAAACCAAGGCGTTTTTTCCTTAAATCGTCGACAAAACGGATCTATTTTGCTTAGTACACGCAGGGTGTTGATGTTTTCTGTTTGATACTTGACAGATGTCAAACCTGAGATCAATTCGTTCTCATATAACGCCATCTGTCGAAGGCTAGATGAATTTCAAACATCCTCCGTATTTATAACAATTTATTTTAAACAGACAAGTAGGGGTTGTGGTTTTAATAAAAAAAATTTAAATATCGCCAGCTGATAAAGTTATGGAATGTTCAGAAAAGTTTTAGAACAAAAAATAGACATTAAACACACTTATTTTTCTAAGATCTATTCTACATTTCTCTGAAAGTACCAGATCAACCACAAAAAGAAATACAGATTAAATAGTTCGCAATTTTTTAGCAAAAGTTTGATTTGTTTAATTTCTTTTTTATGTTATGTATGTGTAATTAGTAAAGAAAAATTTTTACACTGCATAGAAATGAAAATTTGCCAAACAATTTAAACTTTTTCAAGTTTCGGAAATTTTGATGTGAACAATTTAAAGTCATCTCCAGAACAATGGTGTAAAGCAAAATACAATTCCATTTTCTTGATTTTTCCTAATAATTTTGCAATCCAACTCGGTTCTATTTTCTAGAAAATTTCTTGGAAAATTGTTTGTTATACAAATTGATGATTTTTTTACGCAAAAAAGAGTAAAAAACTTTGGAAGCCTTTTTAAAAAATATCAATCGGTTAATTGCGCAAGCATGCTGAATTTTTTAAAACCGCTATTAAAGATAATATCTTTCCTTTTTTAAACTTCGATCAAAATTTTTATCATTTATAAGTTTTTTCTATGTCAAATTAATTTTCAAAATTATTAAAAATTGTTTAAAAATAATATACAGGTGAAGTTGATTCATTTTCTTAATTTTTTTCCAAGTAAAAAGAATATTTTATTTTACAAATACAAAAATATATTAAATTATCAATATTTTAATTGAAAAAATAAATTTAAACAAAAAAAATATGACTTTTATAGCCACTTAAAAAAAATCCTCAGGTTAAAGTAATTAGTTGATTTTAATTTTTAAAAATGTGATTGGCAGCTCGTTTGCTCTTTTATCCGCAATGAAATCAGTTTTTATATAACACGATTATCCAAAAATTTATGCTTTTACATATTTCATTAATTTGTAATATTAGATAATGATCTCATTATTCGTAATCATTAATTTTCTTCATTTCAGTTTGCTAAGACAAATTTTAGTGAGGGAAGATAGCCCTGAATGCAGCAAATCAATAGTTAGTCAAATGGGTTTCATTATGTAATATTAAAATCTAAATCCCAGATTAACTCTAAAACGCCTTGTAAAATGCCGTATAAAATATTTCAATATAACCAAATAATAATGCACGTTGATTTTTTTAAGTTGTCAAAACCTCTTCATGCTCCATGTTACCAAAAAAAATTTCGAATTGGCATCTTTGTATTTAAAATTCGGCTACCCACATGCACAGTACGTATGCATATTCTCAAATAAACCCTAATGTGTATTAGCTAAAGTGTGAGTACCACAGTACACACCTGAATGTATTTTGTGTCAAAAATGTTAAGTATTTAAATGTTGAGATGATCATATCCCAAACAATGCAAAATACTACCATATCTGCAATAAGTGCCTCACTTGTTACAACAGCTTTACTGTCTGTAATATTGTTTAACCACAAGTGACGTTCTTATTGTAACGCGGCAGTATCTCAGTCAGCGAATTCTGAAACTCCTCGAGTGGCTTTTTTACAGCTTAATAAAACCGTTTTCAATTTTTGCTATAGAAGCGCACTGTACAAGGTATTCTTGATATTATCAATGCATGGGTTTTTGCTTTTTAATTTTTGGGCCTGACACACCTGCATGCACGCTGAAGTTTGCTTATTTTGGTTTCATATGAAATAATAATGTTGTTTTATATTGTGTTTAATTTTTGTACAAGAAATATGCACAAAACTATAAATTTTATTTAACGAGAATATTTAATAGGTTCGGTTTATTGTGGGTTCTATATTTTTTAGTGTAAAATGTGTTAAAGCACTGATATTTGTCAATTTTATTTACTTAAACAAAGCATTTGCAATTACGGAACAAGTGCTATGGTATGAGTAGGTGGTAAGTAACTTACATGTTCTTTGACCCATAGACCACTCCCTTTAAAGTCACAAGCCACGCCCACAAAATATATCCGACTCTTTTTAGGTCTTTTTCTACATTTTTGTCGGTCTTCGAAGCTTTATACGTCAGCAATATAAGAACAATATATCAGCCACCCTATAAGTGCTAGAATGTGCATCAACAACGACAAAAAGCTTCGATTGACTGTAGAAAATGTTAGCTACAATAATTGGTCAGAAGTGGACTACTAAGTCTGACGTCATAAACGGGCGGGGCTTAGAAAACTTTTCCAAACAATTCTGTTTACGTGTATTTCTCACATAAGAAGTTGAAAATATTGATTTTTTAAATTGTTTAAAGAAGAAATAAGGACTTTTGGTTATTTTTTCTTTATTTCAAGGTATTTTGTTGTAAATCAATAATTTTAGCCTAACATACAAATAGCACAATTACATTTTAAATTATCTTTAAAAATCGTGACAGATACATAGTATAAATCTGAACAGACAGTCACAGAATATCTGAAATATAAGCAATATTAAAACAAACTATGACGCCGCATTAATCGCCGAGATAGAAGACGAGTTCCAAAGATTAACACACATCTTGAATACAACAGCCCAGAAATACAATATGATAATATCAGCAGAAAAAATGTATGACAACATCTAACTATCTACGATGTAATATCGAAATTGATGGAAAAATAATAAAGCAGGAAGCAATGTTTAGATATCTGGGAATAGATACAACTAGTGATGGAGATGTTGAAGAAGAAGTACGACAACAAAGCTTAAAAGCAAGTAGTGTTTTTAATTATGATTCCTACACTTTTTTTGTGATCATCAGTACTGCTACCCGAATAATAAAGAACAATCTGGTCATGATAGCATTGTCCAGCACTGGTCCATCGTATTTCGTTGAGGCTAAGTATTTGTATTTCAAGTCTGCTTATTTCTAGTGCTACTGTTGCGAGTTGTCCAGTTTTATATAATATTCTTACATTCCACGTTGCAATACGATTTATTTTGTTTTTCCGCTCGGCGATTCTTCGCACCCTTGTCCCATCTAAGCCGTTTTGTTTTGACTCTCCATTAGTGATTTTTCTTGAAATATCTTTAATGCAACGGCATAAGGATGCCTTCTGCATCCTTATGCCGTTGACCATTCGTGGTTCATCCGCCTTTGAGACCTCATTGACTTTTGTCAATCTCAGGAAAAAAGAGTGCCCTTCCACTTACTAGCTGATTCTCCCGAAGCCGTTGACCAGTAAGGTCCCTTATTTTATTAGTCTTCTCCTTCTTCTAATGGCGCTACAACTGGATGAGAGAAGGCGATACTCCATACAGGAATTATTTAAGATCAGATCATAGGTCCCTTTTTCATAGATGGCTATTTGAATGGCGATAATAATTTAGCATTGCTATAAAATAATGGCTTATTTTCAGTTTAATAGTAATTAATTTACAATGCCACAAGAAAATAGCTTCAGAACAAAATAATGTAGTTTCAACGTTGGCCAACTTGTAACCTGATCCAGGAAACCCACAAGTTCCGGCGAATATGATATGGTTTCAACAAGATGGAGCACCACCCGACTACCAAATCCATGTCCGGCAGTACCTCAACCATACTTCTACCAATACTTCTAAATCGGTGGATAGGAAGGCGAGGATCGATCGAATGGCCACCACGATCCCACAATTTGACGCCACTAGACTTTTTCTTATGGGGATGTGTGAAAAATATTGTATACAAAAATAAACCCACTGACTTAGCTGACTTACGAAGACAAATAACGCTTGCGATTAGATCGATCACATCTGAGATGTTAAGTAACGTTAGAAGAAATTTCTATTTACGGTTAGGGTGTTGCCAAGACGTTCATTTGGAGCATTTTGAACATCTCCTATATTGACACTATTGTTTAGATTTGTATTATTTAGAAGTTTTTGAATATGTTGTAGCCATATTTAAAATAAGCAAGTTTGTATTGGCCACCGTTATCTGATACACTAATACTAATCGACGTGTTCAACCGTTTTTTCGAATACTCCCTCATTTATTTATTAGCTAATTTGTTCCATTTGGCTGACACATAGTGTAAAACAACAGCATTTTGCTCCAGTCTTGATTATTCCACGCCAAATGGTTTCGAATAAATGAAGTCTTAAATATTTTATGAAACAGGCCACAACCAAATAGATTTAGAACCAAAAGAAATCTTACAATCATTGCAATATTTTTTTGCTACAAAACCATGTAAAACCAATATTTTTACAGTTGCCCTATGTCGTCAGTCATTTTAGCACCGATACTCTACCATCGTGTATCAATATTACATTTTTCTCCACAACAATAGGGTCTAACGACATATTGACCTTTTAAAAAAACACTAACCATAAAATCATTAAATATAATTGGTTTTTAAAGAAGATTTACTAAAATTTGCGTATATTTCTTGTACCAATCACTTAAAGCCATTAATTTTTATGTTTTGACTAATTTTTTGTTAATTGCATGTGTGTAGGGATAGGGACGATCCCGAATAGGAAGTCTTAGGAGTCGCTGACCGAAAACCACTCTTAGAGACGCGACGACAAGTCGGTATGCGCCTGTCCAGTGCAATAGGAGACAGACAAACAAATTTTAAGAGTTTTTAAAAAACTCCTCTTCATCCCGATGTGTGTCAAAGAAGTTAAATTTATCGTTTAATTCTAGTGTGCGGAATTGTCCGTGTAGGATGGCAAACTTTGGTTAATTAGTCAGAAACGTAAACTTGAATATTAAAAAAGTAAATATATACATATTTACAATGGTAATATTTTGCAAAATTCGATGAGATATATTGTCCTCTCTCGGTGTAAAGTTATGTACTACAATTTTTACGTTTACGACCGTTTAAATGGTTGTACAATATTAAAGTGCAACATAACCAAAAAATAAGTTTATATAAATAAAAAATTACCAAGCCGGTCCTGTTTAATTTCATAACGAAGCTGTAGCACTCAACCAATCAGAAAGATGATCGGTTATGTTTCACACTTTCGGTATAATTTGAAACAGGACCGGATTGACGTTTTTTGTGGACCGATTGTGGGCAAAAATAGATCATACAAGAATGAATCTTTTATATTTTTATTAATATTGTGTAACTACTTCAAATAATCTCCACAAAATACATTGTCGATAAGTGACAATAAAACTATTAGAAGATGATCACACTTTAAAAATCTGCTGTTGAGACTATTACAACTATTTTTTAAAATATACACTGAAACAAAATGTTTGTTTGGTCAAATCTATCACTTAGTTAAAAGTGTTTGTTATTATTGTCCATCAAAGTTTGCGCTTATTTATCTTCTGAGTGTAACTTTTGTGAGAAATTACGGTAATATAATACAGAGAAGTAAGTTTTTTTCGGGATTTTGAATATCTTGTTAAGGGCAAGTAAAAATTCGAATTATTAACACGTTGCCTGTCGCCTCGGTCTATGTGACCGAGAAAAATTGCTCTGCACGCCAGTGAGGTCTATTTAACCGAGAATTTTAACGTGACTGTAGTGCCGTCAGACAGATATTACAGGCTATATAAAGGTACCTCTGCGCACCGTGTCGTGAGCGGTAATTTTTTCGACCATATAGCAGAAATGACATTGGCGTGAACGGAAAGTATTACAAATTCCTCCAAGGCAGACAACGTGTTAATAGCTAAAATTAATTCTCTGCAAAAACAATAGGTTTTCTTTATATAGGTATATATTAACTAAAATAATTGCTGAATATCTGGATTCTGTCTCAAAAATGGCCTTTTTTTACTCTTGTCCATGAACTAATATACATTTAAGTGATTATACCGACAAAAACGTACTCTCTTCCTTCATCAATTTGAATTTCACGCTTCTTGGAGTTCTTTAACCTCTTTATTCTTTTTTCTCTCACGCATTTTCCACGTTTTCTTGCAGACAGCATTTTAGTATATTATTTATATTTGGTTTCATTCGTCAGTATAAAAATGTCAACATTTTTTTGGTAATTTAATTTTTGTAGTACTCTGGCATTTGATATTTCGTCTAATTGTTGCCCCAGTTATCGCTGTTGCTTCAGCTAAGTCTTAAAACTATACACTCTAAATAAGACGGGCATATATATTTTGACCAATAACTTGCACATTTAGATGAATATTGGATGAACTTGTTCTTCAATTCTGACTTTTTTCGTGGCAATGGTTCCACTGTTAATTTGATAGTGTGCTAGTGTCTGACCTTCTCAGCCTCTTTTTATCGGGGTGTTTGATATGTTTTTTCCGTGGTCCTGGTTTAGGTATTTCAAGTTCTACTTCAGATTCACTGTCACTGTCACTAGATTGAGACTGGTATGTAGAATCTGCATCTGAATCGTCTGAAAAAATAAGACATGCGCTAGTTTTATCTGATAATAATCTGATTCATAGCCTTTATAAACACAAACTATGGGCTTTACAGAATTTTCACTTACCGCTAAAGAGACTCCTGTTCCTCTTCATGTACAATACTTGCGATGTCCATTTCGATTAAGTTAGCAAAACTTAGGTTACTTTACTTTTAAATCTGCCAACTATTGTAGAATAATATGGGTAAAATTTGAATTAAAAGATACGACAGCAACAGTGTCGACAAGCGTGTACAACATTCAACAACAAACAACTCTGATGACAGTCAGTTGGAGGTCAAGGGGTACAAGTGGCGCTTGTACCTCTTAGCTTCTCAGGAAATCAGCTGGTATTTGAGGTAGTACTTATACTATCCGCTAGATTGCAGCACTGTACAGTGATACGCTTGTATCCCTTTGGCACAACAATTTTTGACTCCATAGCAACTACTTAGAGGACTTAACTACATTTTGTTTAAAATTGCACTTGTACGACTTGGCTTCTGGGCTCCTCAAGTTATGTGTTTATGGATTTTAATAAATACTGAATGTAAGAGGTGACTTCAATACAATCTGATTGATTTCTGTATACGATTTGGAATATTCGCTATTCTTTAATATTACCTTTCAAGAGTTCCATGGTTACTTGGAGCGAATAGGAACTTTTGATAAATTTATAATGCAGATGTTTACAACAATTGATGTTGCAGCAAAGGTTAAAATATCATTTTCTTACTGAATTTCTTTTCTAAAACCGTTCTACTATTATTTTACTATTAGAAAATTTGTTAATTAAATACAGATATATAGAAAAATCTATGATGGTTAATTTACGTACCTACTACATTCAATATATCGAAAATATGTAAGTAGGCGTTAAAGTTAACATCGAGTTAGTTAATTGTGGAATTAAAGTACTTTGTAAAATCTCCCACATTTTACACTGCATGTTTGGATGAATAAAATACTAATTTTAGCGATTTTTGCAGCAACAGAAGCGTACCGTACATTATACGTAGATTTTCTTCTAGTACTTCGGTACAATTTTTAAGAATATATAAAATTTTTAAACATAAAGTAGCAGATGCTACATATAACAAAATGGACATATCATAGCTGTAGGATGATTTTATTCGCTATATGGATTCCTGTTTTAAGGCTAAATTTTAGCGGGTTTCGCAGAATATCTACTAGTAGACAGTCATTACTAACAGTTTAAATTATAGATCTACTAACTCTTTTATTTTTAAACCTACCCAATAAGAACCGGTTACTTTTTTTGAAAACTCCGTTTTTTTTTTGGAAAATCAGGATATATGAAATAATAATGGACCGCCGGAGTTATGACGTAGATTTGATTGACATCTGTCAGTTTCACTTTCCAAACAAACGTTGTTTAGTGTGGATAATTTGTATTTTTCGTTATTTTTTAATTTTTTTTACATAATCTTTCCGTTTTTTTGCAATATTTAAGTATTCTAATAGTTACTACAACAATTTTACAAGGTTGTGTAAATAATAAAGCATGTTTTTTTTTTATAAAAATAGCAATAAAATGAATGCATCAATAAAGTAAGGTTAGACTTTCTTTAATGTATACTTTTAAACTATATTTCATAGAAATAGAACACTGAATTGTGATGGTATTATCGTAAAAAACACTATACTTAAAAGAAAAAGTAGCAGAGGAAGCAAAATGGTAACTTTATAGAAATTAAAAACTCTTGAAATTTGACATTTCAACTTTTGTTTGGAAAGTTATGACAGATGTGACGTCACACTCCTGCTGTCAATGTCAAAATTACCTGTCACCTATCAAAATGTGTCAAAATTAACTGATATTTTGATTTCGAACGTCTCAAATTTAAATAAATAAGCCATATCAAACTATTTTTGATAGATGTCAAAATTTTCTGTTTTTCTCAAGAAGGTTTCGAATAATATTAATGATAATTATAACAAAGCTACAGTTTGATCTAACTGTAAAACTTTCTTGATTTACAAACGCCTGATACAAATGATTCAGATGTATTTTTATATAGGTACATTTCAGTTAAAGGAAAATAAATGTGATTCCAAAGTTTCTGATACTTGTGCTGTCAAGCTTTCCACATCTGTAGTTTAATTTTTTCTTATTTTTAATATTTATTTCCGCAATCTTAGTCTTTTAATGCTTCCTTGTCTTATATCATATTTTTATCATCCCAGTAGCCTCTTGGGCTACCGTTCATTTTTATCAATGTTTCGCATTTCCATACTTACACAATTTTTGCCGTTTCAAATATGTCATATTATTTGTCATATGTCAACAGTTCATTTTGGATGTCAACTTATTCATTTCTGCAATATTGTCTATATTCCTTATCAACTAGCAGATCTCATGGTTGTTTATAATTCGCAGATATTTATTTGTAAATATCTGACAAGAACCTCACATTCTTCTTCTCCGGGTCGATAAAGTTGGCAACCGTGCTCTCTAAGTTTTTAATTTCTTACAGTTGCAGTTGCTATTTCCTGTTGTATGTTTGATAAAAAACTTTTTGTTTAGTTTTTATATTTTTTTTATTTAAAAATTGGCGGAAAAACCGAATTAACTTACAGTAGTCTGCGTTTTTAACTATACCAAAGATTTGGTATAAAAGTATTATACATAGACATAATGTTACAGTTTGCTGTCCTACATGTTCATTTTCGCAATACTAAATAATCATTATAAATCGATTTTAAGAAGAAAAAAAGACATAACACATTGCCAAAGAGATTTGTATTTAAAAAATTGAAAATATTATGGTATTATGTCATTTTAGCATTTATATCTTTTTTGCTTATTGTTTTTACCTGATAATTGACGTATTAGGGCTTTTTGCTGATTTTATATAAATATGTATATTGTAGCTTAACTGTACATTTTTATTTTAAATATACTATCCTGTTTACAACGGTTTTATTTAATTGGCGAAAAAAAATATCAAACTATTGGCAAAACTTGCAACCAAAGTATCGCGACTCATTGAATTCATCTTGCTTTGATATTTTATCGATTGTTAGTAATCGTCTAGTTTTATTCAATCTAGGATGTTTGGAATTTTTGCAGTTTTGTTTAGTTCTCTTCTTATTTCGTATAAGTGCAATTGCTCTGCAATTAGTAAAGCAGGCATTACAATTTTTCAGGGTTCCGGAGTCTCAGTCTCTTGAGCAGTCACATCACTGTTCACTCCACTAACGCTGCTTGGGACAGTAGGTGGCCACTTTATACCATCTATGGTGACGTGATTCGATGTTGTGACATTTGGGTGTGAGTTAGCGCATAGATTTAGCAGACGGACGATGTTTTATTATGATTTTGCTAAGCAGGGCTGTAAGGAGTGAAAATGCAATGCACTGTTTGTTTGTCTACTTTTCAACATCTAATTCAGCTTTCAGCAATCGCCGCAAATGTTGCTACAAATATAGTAGTGTCTTATATACTTATTTATTATTTAATTCATGTTTTAAGTGTTATTAGACATTCATTTATTGATTGATTAGTACCGAATGTTTGGTTCAGCCGTCTAAGGACCTCCTCATTTCTAACTCTGTCGATCCAGCTTATTTTCAGTAGTCGTCTGTATACTCACATCTCAAAGGCTGTCAAGCGTTTAAGGATAGCTTCAGTTAGAGTCCACGCTTCCACTCCATACAACTGGACAGGAAAGATGTAGCAAGATGTCATTCGAACTCTAAGGTCAATGCTAAGATCGTGACTGCAAAGTTCGTTTCTCATTTTTACAAAGGCAGCACGGGCTTGTTCTATTCGGCTTTTAATTTCTGCGGTTGGATTCCAGCTCTCATTGATGTTAATGCCGAGATACAAGAGTTTCTCTACTCTGTCCAGTGTGGCATCTCCGACTTTTATACCGTCATCCTGTATATAATTTTGTTTGCTAACTATCATATATTTAGTTTTCTTAACGTTGAGTTTTAATCCATACTGATCACAAGTCTGTCTTATTTTGTTCATTAGATTTTGAAGGTTTTCTCCGCAATCTCCACTAAGGTATCGTCGGCATATCTAATATTGTTGTTGATTACTCCATTCACAATAATACCTTCGGTTGTCTCCATTAAGGCTTCCTTAAATATTTCCTCCGAATATAAGTTAAAAAGTAAAGGCGACAATATACAGCTTTGTCTCACTCTTCTTTTTATATTTATTTCATCCGACAGTTTTTGTTCAACCTTTATGCCATAAATAAATTATTTTAACATTATATAACATATAGACGTGTGCTCAAAAGTGTATTATTAAAAGATGCAGATGTGAAATCAAATTTAAATTGGCAATTACTCTAATTTGGGAGAACTTAGTTTGGAGTGGAAATATTTTGCCACTGCCTCATTTATATACTAATGGAATTTAAACTGCAAATTAATTAATATCAAACAGTTTTTTTGTTGAAAATATCAAATAATTATTAGTGAACCAATGTAAGATTTACCAACTCAACCAAAATAAGATTTAAACATCCGAGAAAAGTTATGAAACCGCAATTGAAACTAGAAAAACACTTTAGATTATTCACTGAAATAATGTACTGGACAAAAAAAAATAATTTTTTGCCTCCTGTTACTACCAGCGATAACGTATGAAGGATTCGGTAGATAATACACTGTATATAGTATTATTCTTCCAAATTTTGATTATCTAGACCTATGTTCCTAGCTTGACTGGTATTGTTCATAATCATTTCCTTCTGTAGATTCATGGCCTGATACCCAAGAACTCTATTTGATGTCAAAGATGCGGCACACAACTTTTGCAGCCATTTTAGCTTAGCGCCTTCTATCTTTCAGAGAAGATTTAGATCTATTTCCTAATAGTTATTCCATATATTCCTCAACTAACCTGATCAAAAGATCAATAAGTCTCTAAAATTCCACACTTTAGGTACTGCATCTCTGTGTGAATTATTGAAATTATTCTTATTTTGAATTGAGTTGCCTATCTTTTTTATGCTTTGTATTTTTTGTACAAGTTTATGAACTTGTTTTTCACCAATTTTGGTCAAGAAAATTACTAAACTATAGCAGACTCCAAGCTGAACTCTCGTAGCAAAAAAACATAGATATACCTGAGAAGATCCCTCAAGATCTCTATAGATGTGTATTCCAGGATAAGTACATGATATTTCCTTCGATTTAGGTTAGATTAGAGTAGGTAACATAACTTACAAAGAAGATTGCAACCATTAATCAACAACCCATCATTTGAAAAAACTACAAAATGTAATGGAATAAATAATTATTACGTTTCTAATAGTTGAGTTTTTCTTTTCCCTGCTAATCCCATAATAAAACACGCTCTAGTATCAATTTTGTTTCAATCACCTTTTTTATATTAATTCAAAATTGGAAATAGCATGCCCAAATATTGTCAACGTCAGTTGTAGGAATGTGCAAAAGGTAAGTTTTTTTATTGTTACATTGCATGTTTACAATCTGCTCTATACATAGAGTAATAAGTAAATAGTCTGTAAGTAAATTAACGTGAGTTAGGTACCGTCCATGGACGGTTACTAAGTATTATTGTTGTAGGTCATTGGGCCATACCTTCTTCAATCTTCTTTCGGCAAGTGGTTGAATGAATAAATTATTTATCAGTTCGTCGTTATGATCAGTGTTGCGATTTTTATATTTTACTAGCTGACCCGGCAAACGCTGTTTTGCCTTATAAATTATTTCTAGTTTCTAGATAAATTCTAGTGTAGACAAAAAGTTCCTTACTTATTATAAGTGTGTAAGTATGTGGTATATGCGTGAAATGGGCAAGGAGCGCTATAAACGATAAGGGAATATAAAAATAACAAACGCCAAACAATATTATTTTCAAGTTGTTATAGTTTATTACTTATAATTACATATCACATATTAATTACGATAGTAACCCTAACAAACAAAATCAATCTCTTACTGCTATAGCGTGAACAATATTGTTTGTTAGCCCATCTTTAGCGAGCACAAACAAACTGGACGGTTTACCCACTCGAGAGCATACTACGTACAATTGCTTGTGTGAAAAACATGGTGTACTCAAATCTAAGCCACAAATAGACATCGTTTGGCCTTGGGATTTGTTGATTGTCATTGCAAATGCCCATCTAATCGGAAACTGAATTCGTTTGAATTGAATTGGCACATCTGTAGGTATGATAGAAATCCGTGGTATTAATATATTTTCACCTTTGAACTTGCCATTTAAAATGCTGGCTTCAATAACGGTTTTCATCAATTTTCGAATGACTAATCGCGTACCGTTGCACAGCCGTGGCGGGTTTAAATTACGAAGCAAGATAATTGGAGATCCAGCTTTCAATTGTAAATTATGCAGTGGCATGCCTGGCAAATCCAGTGAGTTCAAAAATTCTGTGGGAAAATTGACAGCTTCGCTGGCATCGCAAACTGTATCAATAGATTTGTATGATACCAAGTTCCCTGGCAACAACTGTTGTATCTTCAAATTTAAATTGACAGTTTAAATTAGTGCGTAAAGAAAAACCTTACAAATTTGACACTTGTAAGGTTTTTCCTTACGCCTAAGATAGACGCAAATTAGTAAATACAAAACCAATACCAATATTTATTTATTTATTAACGGATATACCATTTACATAGGAACAAAATGTAATATATAAAGTTTTCGACCAATGCGTGTTACCGGTGATGACCTATGGTGCAGAATTAAAAACGAAGATCTACGAGCTAAGACCAAAGTTATAGACGTCATTGAAAGAAACTGTAACTTACGTTACAGTTACAAAGATAGAACATTTTGGAGACAAACTGGGGAGGCCTATGTCCAGCAGTGAATTGAAAGAGGCTGATGATTATGAAGGTTTTTCCCCAGTATGCAATCCCAAATGTATTTTCAAATTCTCTGCGTGAATAAATTTCTTAAAACAAATTACACACTTGTAAGGTTTTTCCCCAGTGTACACTCTTAAATGTCTTTTGAAAGAATCTCCTTGGCTAACTCTTTACAACAAATTTCACACTTGTATGTCTTTTCCTCAGAGTGCACTCTGAAATATGTTTACAAATAATATGCTTGGCTAAACTGTTTACAACAAGCTAAACTGTTTGAAACAAATTTTACAGTTTTAAGGTTTTTCCCCAGTATGCACTATCAAATGTCTTTTCAAATTAATTGCTGCAAAAAACTGCTTAAAACAAATTTCACACTTGTAAGGTTTTTCTCCAGTGTGCACTACCAAATGTCTTTTCAAATGACTTGTTGTAAAAAATTGCTTCAGGCAAATTTCACACTTATGAGGTTTTTCTCCAGTGTGAACTTTCGTGTGTTTATTTAAATAAACTTTTTGACCAAACTGCTTCAAACAAATTTCACACTTGTAAGGTTTTTTCCCAGTATGCACTAACAAATGTGTTTTCAAATTACTTATTGAAGAAAACTGCTTCAAACAAATTTCACACTTGTAAGGTTTTTCTCCAGTGTGCACTACCAAATGTCTTTTCAAATGACTTGTTGTAAAAAATTGCTTCAGGCAAATTTCACACTTATGAGGTTTTTCTCCAGTGTGAACTTTCGTGTGTTTATTTAAATAAACTTTTTGACCAAACTGCTTCAAACAAATTTCACACTTGTAAGGTTTTTTCCCAGTATGCACTAACAAATGTGTTTTCAAATTACTTATTGAAGAAAACTGCTTCAAACAAATTTTACACTTGTAAGGTTTTTCTCCTGTGTGTGTTCTCAAATGTTTTTTCAACCCTCCTATTTCAATATACATTTTCAAACAAATTTCACACTGGTAACGTTTTTCTCCGGTGTGTCTCATCAAATGATTTTTCAATTTAGATTTTTTAGAAAGCTTCTTAAAACAAATTTCACACTTGTAAGTTTTTCTCCAGTGTGCACTACCAAATGTGTTTTCAAA